CGGAACAGTTTCCAATTTAAGCAGGGGTGACTGTTCACTTGTAGAACATAAATGTGTGTAACATAAGGCTTGCATGTATTCTAGCTTCTGTCTCTAACTTGGGGAATGACTATAGCAGTAATTTGGCTCTGTAATAAGTGGAGAAAATCAGCAGAGTGAAGCAGTTGGTGCTGTGACCCTCACCTCTACATACATATTCTGCTGTGCAGCACTTTTATTTTGGACTAGATTTAGTGGAGCCTCTCAGGATCAAATATCCATGCTACTATGTGTGTTGAAACTGTTCGGAGCTGTTATTTGCTTGGATCTGTGTGTCCCCTTAGGGGCTGAAACATGACAGATAACACCATTACACTGGTACATTTCCACTTCTAGTTTATATTTCTCCATAAAGAATCCACATCGTAGATACCAAAACTGGTCTGCGAGCAAAACCATTGCACAGTAAGCAGGAATAGTGCAGAGGAGAAAAGGATTTGCTTCTAAATTGCACTTTTGCTCTGAACCAAAACACTAGTGTAAACATAGCCTTCAGCTAACAGAACAAGGCCTTCTATAGTTTACAGACAACAGATAAATTCAAATAGATTCTATTCTACTGACTTTAGATTAATTTAGCCTGATATGAATGTGAGGACAGAAAGGAACGTAATGGGAATGCAAAAGGGATTTATTATAAACAAGGCAGTGCTCATTGAATATTTACGTGCCCACATATGTTTATTTTGCTCATTCTGGTTTTTGTTGCCTCCCCACCCCCTGACAGCTGTACTTTATGTTTAATCTCTTCAAATGTTTTGTTAAATTAAAGTATGATCTTTTTATATGTATAACATACTTACGTGTATATACACACACAAACACACAAAGCATTACACAGAGAGTTTACGAACGTGACCAAATTATAACGCTTTAAATTGAGAAAGTTCTTTTGAATTTCTTGCTTACTTTTATTTACCTGAACTAAAGATCTTTCATCAGGCATTAAGGATGGGTGTCCTTTTTCTGACCAAGAGGTTACTGGACCTGTCCAGCACACAGGTGTTTGTTATCCTCTGCTGAAAGGTGCAGTCCTCTTAGATGTGTCAGAACATACGCATATGCAGCTGCTCTCCAAACCAGTTATTTCAGGATGCCTACATTAGCTCAGGTATTCTTAATATCTAAACCAGGTCACTTTGACAGAACTACATTAGGGAATAATTACGGAAGTTGTGCTGTGACAGATGGGGAGGAGCTGTTGTCTCTGAGCACAGGACAGGGAGGAGGAGTTGCGGTGTTGACATTTCCACCTGGAGCAGCTGTAGTCAGATAGCAGTTTAACCTACAAATGTATCTTGTTCTTGTCTGTTTGTTTGGGGTTTTTTTGTAAGTGTAAATGCAGTATATTTTGCTAATAAAAGCTATTAAAATCCTCAGGGAGAGAAAGCAAGCACGAACCAATTTCGCCACATTCATGGAAGGAAGGGAAATTTACCATTTCAGCTATAGTTGTGGTGTGTGGGATTTTAATATGTGCATTTCACCATTGTTGGATTATACCTCTGAGCAGCTCATTGTTTTTCTGTCAGTTCTTCTGCTGGCTGAGTTTTTCAGTGTCATTGATCATTATTGCCCAGGTGGGGAAAGTGATAACTTAGTATGCTAAAATAAACTGGGAAATGTTACTTTTTTGCCACCCAGATAGTTTGCCTGATAACTTTCCCTCACACCTGTTTTGTATTTTCTTTTTTTATATATAATTTTCTATTTTGTTTTGATTCTTCTACAACACTTGAAAACTAATGATGCGTGGCAAATCCTGCAGTACAGAACCTTTTAATTACTAAAAATAAATATTGCCCCATGGTGGAAGGCATGGGACACTGAAGAAATGGTAGTTGCCACAAACTAGTTGTTGTCAGCGTTTCTGGTGTGATTATGGCAAAGGATGTGGTCTTGCTCTTCTCCTGCCAGTTAGGGACACTCTGCCAGGTTCCAGCTCTCTGAACTGACTTGGCATAAGATGAGCTCATCTCCAGGGCAGCAATAGCAGGGAGAAACAATACTGTCCATGTGGATGCGGCTTGCTGTTCCAACAGGGTAGCTGTATGATCAAACCACACCATGACTGATGTGTCAGGAAGAAGGGATGGAGATCTTTTTACCCACTGAGTTACAATCTCTTTTTTCATTTTAATATTTGGATGTAAATCAGTGGTATCTTCTAACATCAGACTTTAAGGTGTCTTGTGTTGTATTTCATGTCATGTCACCACTGTAAAGCAAAGGAGAAGTGGATGGTTTGGACAACCTTTCTTTTTCAGTAGGAGAAGAGAAGCACAAGTTTGTAATCTTTGTTTTTACCATGAAACAGTTTAAATAAACCACTAGTTCAGGATGGATATTCCTGTTCTTGTTCTATACTTAAGCTCTGTGTGCATTTTGTAAGCACTCCAGTTTCCTGCTCCCAAATCTGGATGTAGCTGTTATTGTCAGCAAAAGTATTGAGGCAGAATATTCCTGAGCAGTTTTTCAAGTGCTTCTAGGGGAGTCAGACTAATCAAACTGAAGCAATCCAAAAAGAGTCCCTCAGTAAAGCTCTGAAGCTGTGTGATAAATTGTATATCACATGTTAATTGCTATAATTTTTGTGTTATAAATAAAATAAAAAATGTATTCAAGAAGAAATAAAGGGTTAGAAAAAATCTCCTTTTAATTAAAAAGAGCAAGTGACAAAGTAGGTTTTGTTGCAGGCTTGGACAATACAGCTAAATATAACGGTTTTCTTTATGCATTTCTGTTTGCTCCATAAATCATCAGGTTAAGAATGGATTTTTGCATCTCCTGTTCTAGAGTTCATCTGTTATCTCGGCAAGGTGCCTGGTTTTTTGGACAAGAGGGATGACTTCCTGCTTGAAAAGGGCATGCCCTTAATGGGTGGCCTTTCACTGTTGAAAGACTGTAGCAGAACTTTGTGCCTAGTAATTGATACTGTTTGTTACAAAGATTTCCTACTAGAAAATAAAATTACCTTGCTAGTAGTAGAGATCTTAGTCTCTGAGAATTGTGTTTTTAAAATCTACTTTAGAAGGTCAAGAGAGGCAGAGAGGATAAGCAAGACTATAGCAGTAACTGCTTTTTTGACAAGATATGAAGTTTGATTAATGAGTTTGGTTTTAGTTTTTAATTTAACGTTTCTGCCTTAGTACTTGAAGGTCTTTTTACTCAGTCTCCACTACAAAAATTTTGAAGGCATATTTTTCTACAGTGACTTTCTTATTTGGAGTTATATTTTCTTCTAAGATGTTTTGAAGTAGTTAATGGAAAAAACAAGTTTCCTTTTTCTAGATGCATATTTTTTTAAGTGCAGTAACGTTACTAAAAAGTTAAAGAACTACAATAACAATAGTTCTAATGTATTTAAGATTTTAAATAAACTTTGGACAATTTATATTGTATTTCTCTCTATAAAATGTATTCAACTGTTCAAGTCGTTAGCAAGGCAAAGGTAGAGCTACTTTGTGTTTGATTTTTATTTGTGTGTTGTTGATTTGGTGGAGTTTTTTTAAGACCTGTGCAAAAAGAGCTGTGCAACATCCTAATGACAGGACAGCATAGTAGAACACCTGCAAGGAGTCAAACGCAGTTGTAGGGTATGTCCCTATATTGCTGATGAGATTATAATAATAGTCATTTAACCTCACTGTTGAAAACCAGGGAGTACGTTATGATAGCATGCCACATGCCAATTGAGGTGCACTCTTAAGGAATCTGTTGTCAGCAGTGATGTGATTTGGTAATGAATCACATACCATTTATATCTGCACCACACATACTTGTATTTTTCTTCCATCCTTGTAAACGATTCCATTTCGTTAATGCCACTGCAGTAAATGTTACTGTTTCTTCAGAGGTTCTTCTAGGTACGTGTAATCTTGGCTTCTATGTATGATCTTTGTTCGTGAAGGGCTGGGAATTGAATTAATAAGTGATAGCCCCAAATCCCGCCTTTTTTTTTTTTTCCCCCCTTTAATTTGTAATACCAAAAAGAAGAGATAGGTGGGTAAGAAAGCTGTATTGGTCCCGTAAGTGAAATGAAGTGGACTGGAGGATTTACCAGAAGAATCAGTCTGTGTAGGAAAAAGGAAATAAAAAGGGGAAATCCTAGAGACTAGGCTTGCATTTATATCTCTTTTTCAGTAAAAGAATTTCCTTTCTGGAGGATTAGCATGATTGGCATGAGTTTTGGTCCTAGGCATGAGCCTCTGTCCCTGCAGCTGCTGCTGTCTGCCCTGTCTGCTTTACCCTAGTGCTTGAATTCCTCCAGGCTGTGGGTCCGACATACAGTTGTAGCATGTGCATACTTAATACTTGTGACATAAATATCATCTCTATTTGCAGATAAGTGAGGCATGGTAATTTGTTCAAGTATGTGTATCAAAAACTCTGACCAAAATGTTCTCTGTTTTCACAAAAAAACTCTAAAAAAAAAAAAATCTTCTTGCCCCAGTGCTGGAGCTCTTCTATATTGTCCCTGGTAGCTAAAGGATAGCTCACTGTAAGTAAGAGATTCTCACTTATGCCTTATGCTAAGCAAGCAAATTATTCAAACAGTATCAAATTGATAAGTTTTGTAAGGTAAACACACTGTATTTATACAGCATATTTAAACATGACCTCTGTATTCAGAGAGGGAAATCCTATCCCCATTGAAGATGGTTCAAGAGCTTCACTGGGACCAGTGCTGATTGTCAGTTTTAATATATCGTATTCAGATTCTTGTGTGTGCAAAATACTTAGTGAATAACAATTTTGGTATTCTAGAACATGTTTTTGAGATGAAAGTAACAATCTGAAGTTTAAAGAGAGGAGTGTCCACTCAGCAGTGAAAGACTGTAAGCTATAGAGCTACAAGAGTATTTTAAAATCTGTCTAACTTCAAGAATTATTTGCATGCAAGTTGCTCCCTTGAGTTGTGTATCTGCCTGTGTCTTATGTTTAATTTTCCTTTTTAACAGGTAGAGAGAATTGTTGACAAGAGGAAAAACAAGAAGGGAAAACCAGAGTATTTGGTGCGATGGAAAGGATACGACAGTGACGATGATACTTGGGAGCCAGAACAGCACCTTGTTAATTGTGAGGAATATATACATGAGTTCAACAGACGCCACAACGAAAAGCAGAAAGAAAGCACATTAACCAGGACAAACAGGACCTCTCCAAACAATGCCCGAAAACAAATTTCTAGATCTACCAATAGTTCTTTTTCAAAGACATCTTCTAAATCTTTAGTTATGAGTAAAGAACACGAGTCAAAAAATAGTCAACTTTTTTCTGCCACACAGAAGTTCCGGAAAAACAATTCACCATCTCTTTCTGGACGGAAAAATATGGACCTCGCAAAATCAGGTATTAAAATCCTAGTGCCCAAAAGTCCAATTAAGAGTCGGACAACAGTTGATGGCTTCCAGAATGAAAGCCCGGATAAAATGGACCATATAGAGCAGGATCAAGACGACTCTGTAGCACCAGAAGTAGCAGCAGAAAAACCGGTGGGAGCTTTATTAGGACCTGGTGCAGAGCGTGCTAGAATGGGGAGCCGACCAAGGATACATCCGTTAGTGCCACAATTGCCAGTGCCAGTAACAGCCACAATTGCATCAGCATTAACAATAAATGGAAAAGGTAGGTGTATGAGTTGGTCATTTTTGTGTTGGTTTGTCATTTGACTGGGTTTTTTTTGCTGCCGAGATGCAAATTGCCCACTCTGTTTCAGCCATGTTAAATCAAGTCTGGAGAACTTCACAACTTTATTTTACATAACTATATGACTACAAAGCCATTTTGAATTTTACCAGCTTTTGGTTTCCTCACAGAGTTTCATTGGTATTTGTGTTTTCAGAGTCACCATAAGATACATCTATGTTTGCCTTGACGTTGTGTGGTACACATATTTAGTGTACCATTTCCAGAGATTACATCACTGCTTTAAGTTTATTTAAGTAGATCAAATTTGGTGTGAATACTATAAACTTTAATTATGGGAACAGATGAATGGTGTGAGCAGGAATTTTTCATAGCAGTTTACATATCTACTTTGCTATAAATATTGCCTGGAAAAAAGCCTGTGAGAATGGTGTTGCTTAAAAACCAAAGTTGATAAGCTTTGTTTCAGTGAACATTTGAGCCAGTTGTGGAGATACATATGCCTCCTGCCTGGTTTGAAATCTGTCTTCATTATATTTTATCAATATTTTGTTGTTTGTACCTCATTTGATATTGAGCACTTATTTAGGAGTGATGCCTGGCTTGCTATTATCTCAGTAGATGACAGTTAATTCAATTTGTGCTGTAAAATTTGTGATGCCAAAGAAACCCAAACTGCTTTTCTGGGTGAACTGCTGTTCATTTCCGGGTCCAGCTAAGACCCTTGTTTAGGACCTCATTCTTATGACCCAAACCTTTGTTCTTCCCTGACAGACCCAGGTAGTTGTGTGGTCACAAACGTTCTTGTAAGCATGCTTTTGAGGCTAAATTTTCAAGGTAAAATTTGCAAGTAAATACAAATTAAAATGCAGTGGGTAAGATCTGCAAGTATGCTATTGATGACAGCTTGCTGGAAAAATTGCCTGAAATTTTGCAGGGACTGGGCCTGCCAAAAAACACCCTTAGATACACTATGTAGGGAGAAAAATGTGCTGAAGACTTTGGGAGAGTTTGTATTGGGTACCCCACTGTCATTTGCATTGAGATATTCTGAAAAAATAGGTGCAGCGGGAAAGGTTGGAAAGCGGTGGACAAGGGAGGGGCATACTCCTGGAGCTGCAGTGTCAGGTCATGGACCAACCCATTTTGCTGCAGATGAACTAGGTAACCATGGTAATGGACACACAGATGCCAGGAATATCTCTTGCTTTGCATGGGCTAAAGAAGGAATGTAAATCTCAAAGGATGTAAACAAAGCTGGAAGGGAAGATGCAAGAGATGCCAGGATGTAATTCTCTGTGTAGGTGAGATAGAGGAGTGCATTTTCACGTGTGATGGTTTTATGACAATTAATGTGCATTTTGGAGTATGATGGTGCTCCTAATGTAATGATAAATAAGTGCTGCCTTTGGCATGCTGGGGTTTTTGCCTCGTTGCATCCAGGAAAAAAAGCTGGGATGTGAAGGACCTTCTTAGGTAGATCAAATGAATCATTCCACCAACCTTTTATTCTGATATTAGTGGTATGGCGAAAGCCCAGCTACATGGCATCAAGGGAAAGTGGAAAGAGGTGGAGTGGTAGTGACACAGAAGATATTAGCTGAGTTGCATTTATCTGTTTATCTGTTTCACTGAGGTGTTAAAATTTCCTCAACTGCCACCACTTCCTTCAACTCTTCTTAGGCATTTGCCTGGGCAACTAACAATAAAAGCTATCGACTGATTCTAGGGATGATGACAATATGAGATTTTTCTCACACTTAATGTGTTCACGAGATCTTAAGGTGTAGATCAAAAAAAGGAGAGCCAAGGAGATAGTCACAATACGTGGTGGATGAAGCATATGCAATATGTTCCACCTTCTGTCTGCTGCTGGAGGCATATCAGTACATTAACTGAGGCTTTCCTTCTCTGTCCTGATACACCGCTGCCAATCCCCAAGCTGAGCTGTGCAGTCTGCTGGGAAATGGATGCTAGATAGCATTATTAGGGCTTTGTTGTGCTCACTTGCAACACTTCTGGGCTTAACATTCAAATCATACATTATTTCTGTGATGATAAAACTTGGACACAAAGTTGCAAAAGAAAAATAATTTGCATCTGTTTCTGACATCTCTCTCTTCCTAGCTTTTCAGGATTTCTTTGACTGATATCTTCCTCATGGAAGCCCAGGCTTCAACTCAGATATTATGCATGGCCTGAGTGGACCTTTATTTAGGGAGAAACCAAGAGAAACAGCCCTGTGTCCTAGAGCTCGCCTAGCCTTGAAGCTTTTTAAGCTGACACATTCCCTGCCTCTTCATTAAAGATGTACTCTTCTCTTTGCTGTTCTTATTTTTAACTTCACACTGTTATTCATTAAAAATGTAGTAAATAGATGCTTCCCTCCCCTGCATGGGGCTGTTGCAGTTCAGGATCCTGTTTTGCTCCTTACTCAGGACATTCATTCTTTCTTAAATTGGCACCTCATCACATTTTCAGCACTACCTCAGGATTCGTACATCATGAGAGGTATTTATTGCACAGAAATGCATCTTCATATGCACCAGATCTGACATATTAATAATACAGATGATAGATCTGGCATTTGAAGCACTCTTTCCAAACTTCCCACCTCCTCCACATACACCTTCTTTTAGTTTTAAGTTTAGTTTTTTACTACCACTTGGAGGATGCTGTCAGGAAGACAAAAGCATGTTTTGAAAAATAACTTTTTACGTGAACTGGTTTAGGAATTTTATATCAAGACATTTTTATTGGTAAACCAAGTTCATCAAAACAGAAATCACCCATTGTTAAGCATAATTTTGAAAGATTCTAGAAAAATGCATATTACACTTCAAAAAACTTTACTCGACTTTTTAAATTGAAACAGATTTAGATTTTTTGAAGTAATATTGGAAAAATAATTTAAAATTTTAATATGAAAACAGTGTTCCTAATTTTGAGATTACTGCTATGTCTGCTTTTGAGTTGTGTGACTTGTGTTGATTTTTGAGTCCTAGCTCAGGATGGTGAAACTCTTCATTGTTTACTGTGTTCTTTGTTTTCCCCAGCCTTGCTTTTTCCAGGTTTTTAAGTTTAAATTATAATTAAAGTAGTGATCATTAGCTGTTACTAAAAGCTGATGAAAGCAATCCTGAATTTAAATGAATGAAACAGAAAAACATCAAAGAACTGAAATATTGTGGAAAAGTTTTTGGTGGCATCTACAGTCAATGCCTATTACTCAAAACTAGGCAAGACAAAAAGTGGCCTCATGTCTAACAATAGGTTTTGATACCTTTAAAGTTTTTGAAAGCTTCCTTCATTAAAATGGCATTAAAAAGTAGCTTTGAAATATTATTGAAAAATGTTTTAGGCACAGTACACTCATAATATCCAGGGAAGTTCTGTTTTAGAAAGGACCATAAGCCAGGTGAATACCATTGCTTGGTAAATTCCAGTTGTTTGTTTGGTTGTTTTCTGGTTAAGCCTATAGTTGCTGCAGTTTTTATTTAGGTAGCAATGTCCAACATGTGAATACAAGTCAGAATAAATGCCACAAGAAGGGAGATTTTGGGCAGAAAGGCATGCAAAACTCAAAGTATAAAATGAGGAAGAAAAGCACATCTAGCTGCATGTGTTGTTATAATTAGAATAAGGCAGGCTGGTTCTTACATACAGGAAGAGAAGAAATACAAGAAATACAGTGAATTACATCACTTGTTAGACAGACAAGCACCACCAGTGTGGCATTAGAGCATCTCCCTCCTTGCCCGTATTAGTTCAGATGAATAATTCGCAGGAGCAGCAGACTAATAATACAAAGATGTTTGTGATGTATCACCCTACAAGGAACAAGGGTGTCTGCTGATTTTTCACTTGGATAGTGGTGCTATTTTTATCTCAGACCAATGGTTTTGTCACCAAGAGAAAAACCAGACATTAAAAAAAAGAAAAAAGATTGAACTTATGTTCTCTTTGTTACCTGTTCTCTCCTTTCCCCAAAGCATCTTATGGGATTAAAATACATAGATTTGGAAAACCAAAAATCCACTCAAACACCAAAGGAAAATAGTGTCTGTTTGGTTAAGTGTTTGATAGCTTTAGTCTCAACAGGAATCAAATGTAGAAGGGATTACAGAGGCAACTGGAACTGAGCAGAAACATACATTTTCAATAAGATACCAAACCAAGCTCAAAGGAGTTCTGTTCCTCTCTGTTCCTTAGGGTGATGGAAGCTCACACAGTTCCCTCCCAAAATCTCCCAGTTATTTTTTTCCCTCTCCCTGTATGTGCCTGGGTGTTGGACTTTACATGCTGAACAGTCCACTGTCACCAGCGTAATGGGCCACCCTCAAGAGTCCCATGGGAAGAGCACAGCAGTTGACAAAGGTGTGTTGGGTGTGAACCACATAATTGTCCAGGTGGATCACAAGTCATACATATAACCCTCTCAGAAAGCAGAATGGAGAGTTACAGTTCATTGCTGTTTGAATTAGAGTGGACAATACGACTAAAGGAAAGTCGGGATGATGTGTTACAGTTTTTTTGGATTTCTTTTTCACATCCTGGAAGGACAGAAGCAGCTTTGAGCCTTCATTTTGTTTGTTGGGTTTTTGGGGTTTTCTTTTTGGTTATGCAGTAAAATGGGATTCAAAATAAGAGAGGAACTTCCTTTTTTAGTGTGTTTGTACATTGCACTTGCATGGTGGATTGATCTCTGCTGAGTGATCTGGAAAGCAACCAAGTATTTTATTAGTGCAAACAAAAGCCTATGAAATGGGTTAAAGTCCTTTGCGAAGCCCTCTTAACTTATGAAATTACTGGTTAAACTTCTTTGTCAAATGCAGCAGTGTGAAATTGTAGTGTGAAGTGTATCTTCAGTTGTATATGCATTTAACAAATCACCAAGAGTAAGGAGTAAGGCAGTTTTCATTAAATCATCTTTAAAGGTACCTTTGGCTTGTTTTTAATCCAGAAATTTCATTTCAGTC